GGGCGGGCAGGCAGGCAGACGGGCAGGCAGATGATACGGAGGAAGGGAGGGACGGGACCTTATAGGTTTAACAGGTTTAACAGATTAATATAGTTAGAAGGGACCTTGCAGGTCATCTAGTCCAACCCCCTGCCCAAACAGGAGACCCTAATAGACATTAATAGTTGTTGACTTATGTTCTCAGTATATGGTGAATCAACTAAGGAACCTTTTCTTGTCCACCCTATTATGTAACTATTAAAAGACAGCAACAGCATAATATTGCCATGTTACAACTATCTTCCCATGAGTTTTCTTTTTCACTTTTGAAAGAATTGTGCTTTATTATCTGTAAACATCTAATTTTCTTTTCCATTTATTTATCTCTCTAGAAAGATCTGGCAGAAGAAGGGGTAAGTCGTGTTTGTGAATGGATGGATGAACAGATGGATTATGTTTTAACATGGAGTGAAATAATTACTTACATTGGTGAAAATGTTGTGTATTTTTATTACCGTTAGTCTTTAATCGATACAAGCCTCCGTTAAGGGTGCGGAGGTATTACAAGCGTATGATATAAATTGATTAAAAACACTCAAAGAAAATATAAGAATAGTGATAAGCAAAACAGTTATGTCTCGGTTATGTTGAAGATTCATTTTCTTGGTTGTTTTTCCCCCTAAAGTGTCCTCAGCCTCCTGTATGTAACTGCGAGAAAGGAGACAAGGGCCTTCCTGGCCCTGCTGTAAGTATCCTCCCCCCCACCTCTCTTCTCTAGTTCTGGAGCTTAAATTTTATGTACAACATGGATTACTTTTAACGGTGGGACTTTATTATGATTTGCAATGATGAATGTGCATTGAGAAAAGGCAGGCTGGTGATTCAGTAGGACAATCACCGAAACCAGTGGTGAAATCTAATTTCCCCCACCAGTTCTGTGGGTGTGGCTTGGTGGTGGTGGGGGGGGGTGTCATGTGACTGGGTGGGCGTGGCATTCGGCTATTTTCTTTTTTAGCTTTTTAAAGCATTTTAGGTGAAGCGGCAGGGGGAAAATGCTTTTTAGAAAGCTTTTAAAAATAGCTTCCAACGATCACGCAACTCAGCGCGATCGTTGGAAGCTTTTAAAGCATTTTTTTGAACCAGCAGGGAAAAAGTGATTTAAAAAGTGGGGAAAAAGCTTCTGACAATTGTGTGGCTCACAGCTGAGCCGTGCGATTCTCGGAAGCTTTTTTTTTTTTTTTTGCTACCTGTTTGCAAAACCAAGGACAATCATCCCTACCAGTCCCCCCGAACCAGGCTGAACCAGGAGGATTTCACCCCTGACCGAAACTGTATCTGCATGACGACGGAGATGTCTTTGGACAGCACTGGCTCTTTGGCTTTAAAATGGAGTTTATCACTGCCCCCTAGAGTCAGGAACAATTAGCACGTATGTGCGAGGGGAACCTTTACCTTTATGGCTGCGCTTATGGTTGCGCTTATGGAAGCCATGGTGAGGGAATGGTTAGAATGCATTGCAGGCAAACTCTGCCCACAGCCTGGAGTTTTGATCCTGGTGGGGCTTAAGGGTTACTCACCCTTCTATCCTGCCGAGGTTGACAAAATGAGGAGCCAGATTTGGGTGGGGGGCAATATGCTGACATTGTAAACTGTTGTATTGTATTGTAAAGCACTACGGAGTGGTAGATAAGCTATTGCTATATAAAGCAAAAAGTGCTGAAACTGTTCCAGATGCTCATTCCAAAGGTAGTTTTTCACTTTTTCTTTGAGGACGTTTCGCTTCTCATCCAAAAAGCTTCTTCAGCATTGACTGGATGCAGGGGTGGGTTGCTGCCGGCATTATTGCCAGTCCAATGGCCATAAATTTTTTACGTGCACATTTGCAAAATGCAAAAATGACTGTGCATGCGCAAAACTTTAAAAAAGGAAAAAATTGGCGGAGGAGAAGCGGTAGGGGGCGTGGCAGGCCAGGGTCGCTGCCGGTTCCAGGGACCCAGGCCACCAAGTTACTACCTATTCGGCCAAACCAGTCCGAACTGGTAGGAACCCACCTCTGACTGGATGATGGGGAATGGAAGATTTATATTCCTTGTAGTATAAATCCTTCCAATCCCCACAATCCAGTCAGAGCTGAAGAAGCTTCTTAGGTGAGAAGTGAAACATCTTCAAAGAAAGTCCAGTTGCTTCTTGAAAAAGCACCTTTGGGACAACCATGACCTGGATGACTGAGAATCTCCATAGATATGTCCCAAATGCTCTTTACCCTTATCAGGGAAAACAGCATCTTGTGGGTGTAACTAAGTCTGGTAACTAATTACAAGGCAACATGTCAAAGCCTTAACTGACCCAACTCCATAATCGGTGTTAAAGATCAATATTACTGGTCCAAATGGTAATAACGATGGCGGTTGTACAGGCAGAACATTGTAAGTACATTCAACCTAAAGACCATTGATATTTATGAATGGGCTGCCTATTACTAAAAACGATGGCTGGCATTCAAACTACTCCTATTAGAATATCTATAGTAACAGAATCTTGCAAGTCTGAATGTGCTTTCCCCTACCACTTTTATTTTCATGTATATTAGAGGGCATGCCTGCTTCAGGGACTTTTGCCATTCTGTATCACAGCTTAAAAGCCACATTTATTTGTTTGTCACTTTGTAACAGATCTTCCCTCTGGCTGTCAAGGCCATCCTCTCTACTCCCTTCAAGAAGCAAGAGTGAATGCAAAAGCTGCAGAGGGGTTTGATTTATTAAATATATTGGGTAGAATTCTGACCTAAAAGGTGTGATAAGAAGTGCAGTACATCCAGGCAGGTGGAGGGCAGGGCGATATCCAACGTTAGCTTGTTACAGGGATGGGTTCCGGCAGTCACTACTACCGGTTCACTCATGGGCGCTTCACGCACACACATGCACTTGATGTGCGCTGTGCGCGCATGCATAGAGCAATAAAAATTGCTCTGCACATGCGCAGAAGCAAAAACAACCTGGAGAATTGGTTCAGGGGCATGGCAGGCCTGGGTCGCTGCCGGTTCCAGCGACCCAGGCCACCAAACAACTACCAGTTCAGCCGAACCAGGCCAAACCGGTAGGAACCCACCACTGGCTTGTTAGTAATTTTCAATTATAGAATGGTTTGTGACGAACCATTCCATAGGTTTCTGAGAATTCTGAGTTCAATAAATATGTTATTATATGATAGAATTAAAGCATGAGAATAAATGGAAAGTATAACAAATGGTTCAGCACTGAACAGGGAATATATAAAGATGCTATTGGTTATATCTATCAGAATGATACATGTAGTCTGCTTCTCTTAATTACTCGGGATAGAGAGATACTGTACAGACATGTCCCAGCCTCTACCCGACTTCCACCCTTCCTCTTGGCGAAGTGAGAATTTCTCTATTTTTTTTCACAGTATACAGCACATTCTGAGAACTACCCGTACTGTATATTTCCTCTTGCAGCATCACTAAGAGCCACGGCCTTTATTAACAAAACTCAGTGCTTTAAGCAAAAGTTCCTAGAATTTCGTTCCTTGTTTTCCTAGTCATTTTTTTCATTTTCTTGGGAGCAACAAGTTAAAGTTGTTAGCAATAGCAATAGCAGTTAGACTTATACACCGCTTCATGGGGCTTTCAGCCCTCTCTAAGCGGTTTACAGAGTCGGCATATTGCCCCCACAATCTGGGTCCTCATTTTACCCATCTCAGAAGGATGGAAGGCTGAGTCAACCCTGAGCGGGTGAGATTTGAACCGCCGAGCTGCAGAACTAGTAGTCAGCTGAAGTGGCTGCAGTACTGCACCCTAACCACTGTGCCACCTCGGTTTGTTGAAGTGTAATGTCTAGGAATTGGGACAGAAAAGAACTCTATTAACTGTCTACTTTTACATCTTTTGCTTCCAGGGTAAAAAAGGTCGTCCTGGGGATGATGGAGCATCTGGTGCAAAAGGAGGAAAGGTGCTGTGATCTTTGACATATGCTTAAAAGCTCATTTGTTTAAAAAACATCAGTCATTTTGAATGTATCTGGTTAAAATCATGGTAGAAATTAGAAGTTAAAGCATAATGCTTACATTTCACCTTTTGAGCGATGTTTTGTTAAGAAGATAAAACTAGATAGACCCAGAAGACTTCAGCCGATCCAGAACCATTCATTAAAAGTTGTTCTTAGAATGTTCTCAGAACCCTTAGAATGTTCATTAAGTTGTGAAAGCAGCAGGTTGTAATAACATTAAAATATCCTATTGCTTCTAGGGGGAGCCAGGCTTAAATGGAATTCCAGGAAGAGATGGGACAGAGGTAAATGAATTTTTGCTTGAGGGAAACCTCTAGATCTGTGATGGTGAATCTATGGTATGCATGCAACAGGTGGCACGCAGAGCCATATCTGCCAACATGCGAGCCATTGGCTCCAGCACACATGCACATGCCAGCCAGCTGGTTTTCAGCCTTTTGGAGGGCCACGGGCATTTTCCAGGGCATTTTCACCTTTCCCAGGCTTCAGGAAAGCCTCTGGAGTCTGGAGAGGGTGAAAAACAGATCCAACGGCCAGTAGACTGGTAGTATCCAGACTGTCATGGGATATTGAAAATAGCTAGACAATGGCATGATATAGCACAGGGGTGTCAAATTCAAGGCCCAGGAGCCAGATCCAGCCCACGGGGTTCTTAGATCTGGCCAGTGGTGGATTTCAAAAAGTTTTAGAACCTCTTCTGTAGGTGTGGCCTGCTTTGTGGGAGTGGTTTTCTGGCCATGTGACTGGGTGGGAGTGGCTTGCCAGCCATGTGACCGGGTAGGAGTGGCTTGGCAGTCATGTGACTGCATG